ACAATAGATAAATAGTACAGCTTACTGAATGTCCGCTTAATTGTATCTGTGTGGCTTTATGCAAGATTGCCCCGAACGAGTTTTTTCGATGTTCAACCAATGTAATAGTAGCATCAAACTTGACTTCAACTTTGAGAGTGGCGCAAGTCTATTATCTCCAAAGGAAAGATGAAATATTAGTAAGATGATGAAACAAAAGTAAGCAGTAAGTAAATTCATCAACCGGTTTGTTCAATCAATGCAGATTTTTTTTCGTTGTTGTGTGACAACTGACGCATGATGAACTTTTGCATGGTTTTCAGGAGATGTTCGTTGAACCGGCAAATAATTCATAAAACTAGCAGGGTAAAAGAATAATAAATAAGTTCCTAACACGACATGTACCCTCTCCCTTGTTGTAATAATCAGTAATTTGGGATAAACCGAACAAAGGAATTTTTGTCTCTGCAGACAGGTTCCCGGTTCTTTGCACAGAGCAAAACAATCCTCTGTACATGTACGGATTTATGAGAGGTATGGTTTTCTCTAAAATGATCATCTATCTTTTCCCCCAGTAATTATTTTTTGAAGGCCCTGGCCGGCATGCACCGAAGCAGAACGAGCGGCACATTTCGATAACAATTCCTTTCGATACATGGGCTGTTATGATCATTTTGAATTCAGTAAACAAGAATTGACAATTTGACGAGCAATCCTTACACATTTTCCGTGCTCTCTTAACTTCCTAAAGGCTTCGTACTTCGATGAACGCAAGCTGACGTATAAACCAGATGATAATGATAATAACAGTGATTATTTATCGTTTTAGAGCTGAAACATAAAAACTCACTCTCATAAAAAGAAGGTAAAAATTAAAAGCGGGCTCAACACCAGGAAATACCAATTTGTTGATTTGTTTCTGAACTGTAAGAGTCCGAAGAGACAGTGCGCTTCTTAACCTTTCAATGTAAAAACAGGGGACCTGGAGAGGATGTGAATCACCACTTAGGAATCTTAGGGATCTTTTCTTCCGAGAGAACACCCACAAGACAAGTTTATAATCTCTTTTAGTATTGCTCAAATACATTTCTTTGAAGGCCAAACTTGTTGAATGTATCCAAATCTAAATACTGTTCTCTGTCATCTATCAGTTCGACCCAGGTGTTTAGTTTTAACTAAAATATATTCGTCTATTTTAGAGTAAACATCTTCGGACAAGCGTCCCAAGATTTTAATGGAAATACACATCATGAATTCGAGAAAACATTTAGCTAGTTTTCCGTTTAAAACTTCAGTCTTTTTCAAAACCATCGTCTTGTTTCGGTGCCACATTATTGTGATTTTCTCGGTTTTTTTTGTTTTTGTTTTTTTTTGTGGTTGTTGTTTTTTGTTTTTTTATTGTTTATGTTCAAAACAGTTAGTGATCTCTTGCTCGAGGCTAAAAACGAAAGATTCAACCACGAGCTGACAACTTATAAAAGTTGAGTTTTTCTCATTTTCTGCATGACGCAGATAAACGAAATAGTGCAATTAATTGATAACAATATCGAGGAATGAGCTTTAGACTGCCGTATTTTAAAATTCATTCTTCTCTAAGTCTCTGAAACATCCCCGATTCAAATATGGTTTAGTGGCGTGATTCAGTGATTCATTAACCCCTCATTTCATAACTTAGCAGCCCAGAGCAACTCGAAAATCTTGAGTCAATAATCCGTGGGGTTAAATCTCTTAGTTCTTCGACCCTGTTCTTTGACGACCAAAGTTTGGTCCAACCTGGATCGCGTTCAATTTGATGACGTTATCAAGAAAGACTCAACTATTCCTCTCCGACCTAGAGCGGGCAACAAAGCAATGAAATAACCCTTATTGCTGCTGGGCGAGAATTCACAGGAACGGCTCTAGTAATGGATAATGTGCTTTTACACAACCCTTTTCTTTTCATGATTCATAAGTGTTTATCATTTCGCCTTTCAGACAAATTCCCTGTCCGCTGTACAGATCACGATTCTAGTGACGACGAGTTCATGTGATCAATGCAAGATGAACGAAGACAGCAGCTGAGAAACACGTTTTTTTCCCCAAGTTGACACTTCACTTTTCTAATAACATAGACCAAAACTATTAAAACTTTGAGTGGTTTTTCATTTCTTAACTCTTAGATGTTAAGGGCTATTTTTTTTTTTTTTTTTTTTTTTGTTTTTTTTTTTAATCTCCCGTCAGTAAACTCTATACTAAATTCAGGAGCATTATTTGTAATGATAATTTTGTAATTTAATTACATTAAACTTTGGAAGGATTATGAATAGAATAAAGAATAAAGAAACACTGCATTTATTGAGACCAAAGCTCTGCTAACTCATGGACAATTTGATAAACGCTTGCATGCGAATATCAACTACTTGTGGTGAAAGCATTTTAAAATCTTATGGTAGTAAAATTGATAGTGAAACGCATAGTCGTCATTCACTTTATAATTACTTGTAACTTGATTCTTTTGGTGTCTTTTAAATATCTGTAAGTCAATACTACATTAAAAAGTTGGGAAAGAAACTGAGGTCTTCCGGTTTTTTAGATTTAAACTAACCAGCTAAGCGGCATTGCCATCCTTCCTGAAGCACTACAAGTTACAATCCACAATCATTACAGGAAAACTTACAAAACGCCCGTTCAAAATTCATTTCCGAAGTTTCATTTATTGACCTATTGATCGATAATCTTTCAATCATTCAGCTACTTGTTACTCGTAATTCTCTTATGGCCACTGGGATGTTTAACACTACTAAAAGGGGGGCCGGAATTAATTAAGAGCCTGATTTGTTCTGGAATAAAATTTAGTTATTTGTGGTTTTGATATCGCGTGTGTGGTCAGTCAATTTATATGCTTACATTGTTCGCTACTTACACTTACAACTGAACTGTGAATTAAACAAATCAACCAAAATTTTCCGCTCTCTATTCAGTATTGATGAAAGAAGTTTACAGTTCCTAATTCACCTTGTTCGACATCTTCCTTCCAAATCCCAATCAAAACAATCAAATGAATTTCAAATTTTCATAGAGAAATGATTGCCACTCGTGTTCAGGCTGTAGGTTTAAAGAACTAAGTTATACAAATTACGAAACAGTGAAATTATTTTGTTTATTTTTGTATTGTATTCATATTCAAGGTTCAATAGAAAATTGCATTTTAGTTCTTCCATTTTCTGTTTGATTCGCGACTTCGGCTTTACAATTAGGTTAATGTAAGCGGGAAAAGGAGTCGCCTTAACTTTTAGGGCAAGTTTGCAAAACCTGTTCATCGCATAGCTTTGTTTCTACGAATTGTTCAACAAAAAAAAAAAATAATGCATATAAAAACCAACCTTTCATCTAAAATTAAGTTTTAATCAAGTGTGGTTAAGAGTCTTCATTTTTAAGACAATCTTATCGTGTCATGGGCTATCCACAGAAAAATTTCCCCACCAATTGTTAGCCCGCATTGATATTCCCACACAGGCAAAATGGACTCTGAGAAAAAGATGAAAGTCAATTGTGTAATCATGCATTTTGGAAATGAGGTGATTTTTACATGACCAGCACATTCCCACACACCACAGCTTTGAAACCATCAGTAACTGAGACCGAATTTCTCCTCATATTGTCAAAACAATATCAAGCAGACAAATGTGGAGAACAAAGAAAAATAAGCAATTATTGAATGGGGTCGAACTTGATATCACATGTATGAATTATCAATGCCAAGGTCTGAGTTGTTATAAAGCTGTAGGCTGAGGCAGATAACACAAACACAAGGTTTAATAATTTATGATATCATGCAAAAACTGAATTCAACAATTGTTTTATTGTGCATTTTTTAAACAGTCTGCAAAAGAAGATTCTTCTGTCTGAGTTTGCACAGTTTGAGAACACGACATGATCAAGGGGCTTGGACACCAGGCAGACTTTGAACCAATATTGGGTTACCATGTTGACTTCACATGTTATTGTAGGTTGACTGTTTGGTCTCAACCAATCAGAGTTTTCATAGTAAGGCTAATGTATTATAATACCAATTATGGGATTATTAGTTGATCCAATAGCATATTCTCCAAACTGACCTCATAAGAATTGTAAAAGGCAACCAATTTTCAAGTTAATCCCAAGACACCTTCCTGTATGCTTGGCATACAATTATCGCTGTTTGCACATCTTACACATCTAAGTGAAGTCGAGTATACTCTTGTGTACACAAAGCACCTCTTAGGAGTTAGCAAGCAGGGCAAGCATAATACTGTTAGTTACTTTTACATTAATATCTTTAAATTCCTTAAGATTTTATCCTCTTTTTTCACCAATTTCACAAGCTTGCTAGCCATATTTTCCTCCAGGAAGGGTGGGGTGGGAGGAAGGGGAGGGGTACTTGAGTCAAATTTGCTTGGTATGTGCCTCTGGCCTCTCAGAACCCCTACCCTACTATAGTCAATTCTGTGGCCCATTATAGACCTTACTGTAGTCACTTTTTGGAAAATGCAATGTTTGCAATCCCAATCTAGTCACTTTCCATTTATTCATAAACCATGTAAAGCATTTAAATCTAATAAATCCTAAAATAAATTGATGCATATGTTAAACTGGAAATAGAACACTAATTTCTTACCCCCAAAATTCCAAAAATATGCATCCCCAAGCTAGTAACTATTGAAAATGCAACCTCATTGTAGTCAATCTAGTCATGAAAAATGCGACCCTATCCAGCGGCACATCCCCCCTGATCTATTTTGCATCACTAAGAACTACCCCCCCCGCCGTCCCACCGCACTTGTTAGCTTTCTTCACCCTTTATCGTTTCGGTTGGTTCACCTTAAACATTTTCCCATGGCCAGGTATAACCCAGTCCGCCATCTGTAACACTTTAGCTCTGCTTTCTTTGTGTTTCTCCGGGCATTCGCTGTATTCTTCCCACACATTCTCGTCATCTTCATGTTCAAACAGATCTCCACAGAAAATAACTGTTCCATAATCAGTGCTTCTTACCACAACACTTACATCTGAGAACGTGTGTCCTGGAGTAGAAATAACCTGGACAGTTTCACCATCAATGCAATACGGTGTTCCTTTGTCGAAATTTTCGGGAAGATCGGCGTAATAATCCTGCTCTTGCAATATATCATGAGACACCATTTGGACAGCGTTCGGAAAAGGTTCAAATTTCCAACGTGATCTATATGGCCGTGAGTGCAGACCACAAAGTTTACTTCTTCTGGTGTATGACCGAGGTGTTTCAGTTTATCAAGCAGACGTTGTTTATCCCTTGGGCTTCCCGTGTCCACGATTATTCTGTTATTAGGCCCAGTGATTAAAGTACTTGTTCCATTAGCTCTATATCTGTTTTCCTCATCTGTGTAACCATAACCGTCGAGCAAAATAGAGACTTTATACAATGCGCCTTCTTCCGCCATTTTAGAGGAAGTGAAAGGATAACGAGTGGAAACAGACTGGTGACTAATGTTTTGAAAACCGCTTGTCAGTTGAGCTATGGGCGCAGATTGTCGTTTGCCGTCGAAACGACGACGGTAATCTGTTTGCTGTATAGGAATTGCTGTTTTTCAGTGTGAAAATTTCATGAATCTTCACCACCATGTCAGGTAGTGAGCAAGAAGGTAAAGGGGAGGCCAAGATGGTTTCGATTCCCTTGTCATCCGATGATGAGACATCACTCGGTTAGTATCTCTACTTGAAAGAAGTTGAGATTTTTCAAGCTTCGTGTAAAACCTTTCATCCTTCTTTTTAGATATTTTAAAGCAAAGTTCGCTTGCTTTACAAGTAATGAAATATTCGGGATGTTTACGGGTTTATCGAGGTCCGTACGTACTGATGCAGTGATTGAAAATGATCGCAATCTCGCAAGAAGCCTAATTAACGTGAATCTGTTCCCTTCACATATTAAGTAATTTGTCGTCCTCTGAATTTTTGTATTATTGTGTCGTTGTTATTCAGGGTAAGTCATTGATCAATTGATGAAAGGCAAAAAAGGGTGGAAAAAAGCTTGAACTAATTGCGCACAATAGTCATCACCTAAAGGATATTTGGATTCATTTATACAAAAAATATTTTAGATGTGGGTGCTCTCTCGTGTATGCTGTATCATCAAGGTTATCTTAATTACAACTTGTAGTAAATGTTTTGGAGTTTCAAGGGCAGTTGAGTATGATTTACTTCTCTGAAAACTGGGTCAAGAAGACTGATTCTGAGGCTGATTAAAGAGAATCATTGGATGGACTTCTCTTTGGCAAGACGTCATCTTGAGTCTTTCAGTGTTATTTTTTTCTCTCAGTGGCATATAGAGGTGTAACCCAAGATCTATTTGTATATTCTCCCATCTAGCTGCCACACAGTTCCTAGCAAATTAGTTATGAGAACTGGTTGTAACATATAGATCAAGATAACAAACTCTGCTTGATATAAGTTTGAGTATTCTCGTTAACTCTTTGCTGGATAATGTATGGATATTGTAGGGAGAAGTTACTTCTTAATCACTAATAGGAGTTAAAGTGTTATCAACAAACTAGAGCAGGGAAGACAGGGGAGGTGATATCCAATCAATTACAAGTGGAGGAGGATCTCTTATCCTTTTTCGGCAAAGCATGAGTGTGTTTTTTAATTTATTTACATATAATTGTTGTTTTTTTCTTTCTGTAAAGTGCATTTTACAATTTGCCCATACTAACTATATGAGATTGTGATCACATTTATTTTGTAAGAATGTGATATAAATTACAGCATATTTTCTTTGTATTTGATAATTTTAATAATTATTATGAAACTGATTTTTTTTTGTGGTTCGTCTTTGACTAGGGACAAGCAGTCATTATCCAAATCAACCAAGCTACAATTCTAAGGAAGGAAGAGAAGGTGGTGCCTTACAAGGTAAAAGTCTACCTTGCAGGTTGAACACCTTTGAAAGTTCTAGCTTTGGAAATTTTGGGATTTAATGTCCTCAAACTGATACTGGTGTTGCCTTAACCCTTTCACTCCCAAGATCTAATTGGTAATTCTCCGTACTATCTGCCATACAATTCTCATGATGTTAGTTCAGAGAATTTGGTATTGGATCAACTAATCATCCCATGATTGACATTCTTCTCTATTCTCATCACTTGCCTGCTTGATATTGTATTGATATTGTAAGGAGAAATTCTGTCTTGGTCACTTGTGGGAGTGAAAGGGTTAAAGTTCTATCAGTATTTAAGCTTCCCACTGAAATTTGTTTGTCTATTCCAATCTTCAACCCTTTTCAGTTTAACCCTAATTACACCCTAACATCAGTATTCTATATTCTCTATTGTTATCTCATGATCTTAACAAACGATTCAGCAGTATTACTCTTAGGAGAAGTTAGATACTAGCCACTCTTAACCTTTTAACTCCCATGAGTGATCAAGAATAATTTCCCCTTACTTTCCACTGTACTATCAACCAGACAAGTGATGAGAAAAAAGAAAAATATCAATTTGGCGATTACTAGTTGATCCAATACCAAATTCTCCAAATTAACATCACAAGAACTATAGGCAGACAGTAAAGAGAATTACTAAATTACCAAAGGGTTAAGAATTCAATCAGTAAATGTGACTTTGACAGACTTGTGTAGACATACCAGTGTTTAGTAATTTTTTTTCCCTTTTCTAAATTGTATGTAGTCATCTAGACAGCATTATTTCAATTCTCATTCTAGATGATGTAACAGAGGATGAAGAAAATGAAGCAGATGAGAAAAAGCGCCTTATTAGTCAAGTACTTGAGCTTCAAAACACTCTTGATGGTGAGTTTGAGTGCCATGCATACACAAAAAGTTTTTGTTGAGTCTTTCAAATAAGGGACATGCAAACTTCCACGAGGAGGAAAGATCAGTTGGTCCTGTTAAGAGCCTTAGTGGGGTCCTTTATATCACTGTGGAAGAGGCATGGTCCCACATAAATCAAAGGTGTTTATTCAGCATTCAATTAAACTACTCTTTAATACAGATGAAGAAGAAGTAAATTCCTAAGGAGCAAAAGAAAAGGACTTTTACAAAACTATACTAACATATAATATAGGAAAAATAAATGCAAAGATGCCATGAGATGAAAAATTACCAAATGCTGAGGGAATATATTAGACATGAACCACTTATAGGAAAAAGTTTTACAAGGACACAAATTAAAGTAAATTAGTCATTTAAAGTGTGGAAATAATTACTTGGAAATGATACATGTAAAAACCAAAAGAATTAGTGTTCAGCAATATAAGACCTAACTGCGAGAAATTTAAAAAAAATTACACATTTGCCACAAATTTTGCCCAAATGCCCCTCTTCTTCCAGGAATATATTAAATAAATTTGTACTTACATGTTTGGAAGAACAGGGAACTTCTTTTAAGGTGATGGGGAATTATATTGGAAGTGGTCTTACTAACTATAGTACTCAAGAAATCCAAGGTTCAGAGGACTTTTTGTATTGTCATGGTTTTTTAATTATTGTTACCCATGACATCCTTTTATTTTTCTAATATTTTTTTTCTTTTTGTTTCTCTGTTTCAAAATATGTGTAGGCTTTCCATTCATGACAAAATAAATAGTAAGAATTGTTTGGGTTGACCGAAATTATGTATGATTTCTTGTGAAAAATATAAAGCACAAATACCCTGAAATATTATTTTGGCAATGGAGATTGAAGTTGGGTAAGGGTAATTGTCACTGCCGCAATAATCCCAGGCTAGAGGGGAAGATTCTGTTCTGTTCAGTTTCACAAGGTAGCTTTAGATTGAAGTGACACGATGCTTCTAGTTTTGGCTCGGTCAACAAGTTTTTTAATAATAAGTGATTTGACTCAAATAAACTTTAGAAGGTCAGTTCAAGAGAGAGTTTTGTCTAATGACTTGCTAGCCAAAGGTTTTTGTGATTATTTGAAAATGATATGGAATTTTTGCATTTCTTTTGGAATTTTTTTCCAGATTTATCCCAGAGAGTAGATGCTGTAAAGGATGAAAACCTGAAGCTTAAATCAGAAAACCAGGTATGAGGCAAATTGATCTGTCAAATATCTAGAAAAGTATGATTCTGAATTTGTTTTATTTTTATTGGACTTTTTAAAATCTGTTTGTTTGCTTCTCATCTCTATTGTTGTTTTTGAATCATAAGGCATTATTCATAAAGTCTTGTAACTACTTTCAGAGTGGCTGCCTATGTAGGTTCTATGATGATCCATTTAAGAAAAGTCCTCTTTTCACCATACAAACGTGTGTGACATCAAGAGAACTTCTTAATACTGACAAAAAATATATTTGATTAATATATAATATGAATTATAATCTGAAGATTTGTGTTAAATCAAATTGTCACACATCATTTTTGTTTATCAAACAATTAAATGTGTTTTGATAGGGTTCTTGCAAGATATATCTAAAATCCTTCTCTGTTTTTTTTGTATTTTCAAGGCCTTTCAATCTATTGACACATGCAAGTCAGAAAAAATTTAGTTCTGTTACATGTTATATCTCAACAATATTTAATAGGTACTTGGACAGTACATTGAAAATTTAATGTCAGCCTCAAGTGTTTTTCAGCCGGCTAACCCTGACAGCAAGAAAAGGTATTTTACAAGTGCATTTTGTGTTTATTCTATCAATAGAGAAGACCAGGAATATGATTTAGCAAATGAATTGCTAGAAGAGACAGTTAAAGAGATTATTTTGATATGGCACACTTTTCTGGTGAAAGGTATTTAAAAAAATGAACTGATTAAAGCTACAGTGTTGAAGTGAGGACAATTTTGAACAGAAATCAGTTAAAAAAATTGAGATAAGGTTTAGGTCTTAAACTGCAAGACCAGTTTCATTTTAGTCATAAATATGAAATTAAATGCAGAAAGAGAAATGGAATGCTGTCAATTTGATATTAGGTTAAATAATAAACGTATGGGATTATGTACATGGAAAACAGTGATCACTTGGTACATTTATAACATATTTAATAAGTGTATTTCTATGCCATTGTGAAGGCAAGTGTCTGTAAAAATTTTTTGAATTTATTAGCAAGAATTAATGTAACCTTTTCTCCTTAGGCCGAACCCTTCCAAACCAGGGGTGAAGAAAGGAGACAAGACGATATATTAATGTTAACAATTAAAGGAAGAATTTCTTCGTGTTTATCTGATATATCATTACCTAACTGCTATGTTGTGAGCATTTTTTTTCCTTGCCATGGATCCAAGACTCTATGAGACTGAAGAAATGAGACTTAAGCATTTAACAGAGATAGTATTTATATATGTTATAGTAGTATAATTTGTCAACAATAATAATTTTTTGTTGACTTATTTCACCTTTGTTTGAGGACAGGGAGTCATGGCAACATTAAAATGCAAAATCATTCCGCGAATGAAGCTATCTGGGCTATATTTTGTGTATTTAGTACCTTAATATCAATTGTTGTATTAGAAGGGATTGTTTCTTTTATTTGTTTCTTTAAACACCAGTGGTGCATAACATTATTCTGTTTCTTTTTGTTGCGGTGTTACGAACCCAGTGTGGTCTAACTGGATGTACTGACCGCAACAATCATGGTTTTTCTTTAATTTCTGAGCTGAAAATCTGAGGTTAAAATCTCACTCCAAAAATCTTGAGAGCCGTCAGCTCAGTGCTCTTCGACTCAGGATGATTTGAAATCGTCAGCTTGACTTGATGGTCTGACCCCTGATACTAGCTCGTCCACTAAGGCTTCGCGATAGGTATCCGCTGAACGTACGAATGCAGGTGCAATTCGATTGGGCGGGTAATTGTTCGATAGGATTTCTTCAGCTTCTGTGATGTTATCAGCTGGTTTGAAATTAATTGCCTCTCAGAAATGTTCGGGAGTCAGTTATGTATCGACTTCGCTTAGTATCCGCACTGTCTTATGTACAAATTCAGTTCGTCAACAAGAAGTGAGAACGGAGTCCTCTTGAATTGTTGAAGGCTGGTTTTGAAAGTTCAATCAGCTATTGGACAAGTTCAACAGAAATGCCCTGATCTTTTGATGTGAAAATAATTTTTTTCCCATTGTTGAAAACTTACTTTACGCGCACAGCAAAATACTGCTATGGACTCGTCATCAAGACAACGCCTTTGTATCGTTCAGTATCAACACTTTGGTCACTATGGTTCTTATCTAGCCTTCAGAAGGGAATTTACAACAACTTAGCCGAACCAATGTACATCTGAATAGGTCATACTAATGCACTACAGTGTTTCATGTTCGAACTGAGATTTTAGGAGCATTCAGCTGCTGACCATTGAATGATATCACTAACATCTGCATGCATCGGGTTTGTACGTGCGGTAAGGTTGCCTTTTTTCGGCGTTGAAATAATCAATAGCGATCCGATGAAATGAATATCAGGTCAACTTTTGATGTTTTCTTCGGGTATATATAGAAGTAAATGAATGTGTAGAGCGTTTACAAAGTTCCACCACAAATTATCATATGATGTATACATAAACTTTACTTTTAACTTTTTAAGTCCCAATTTATGGGGATAATAAGCTATGTTGAAGGTTACACAAAACAGTCAAACTGTGGTACCCATCTTAATGGTAATTTAATTCTAATTAAATTAAATTAAATTTTAAGTTTTTAAGTTGCAGGTTTACCTTGCATCCATATCCTACCAAGGGGACATTCTTAATAACAGCAGTGTTGCAGTCGTTTCTGTGCTGCTTTTTCTAGTCACACGAAAGATGCGTAAGAGTTGCTCGAGGCGTAGCCGAGAGCAACTCTAGCTTCTTGAGTGCTCTCCAAACTTCCCACGTGCTTCATATCTCGATGAACGCACAGCTGACGTATGAACCAATTGTTTTATAACATTTTCAACCCGTAGGAAAATTTTTTTCTCGAGGGATTTGTTTGCTGACGTCATGAGCGTGCACAATAGGAATAAGAAGCACGCTCGCGCAATTGAATTTGATTAGACAAAGTTACTAGCTATGTTATAATGCGAATTTACAGTACTTGACACTAAGAATGTTCCTGAATTTGGTGTATAGTTCACGGACAGGAGCAAAAAGAAAGTTACACCACAATGGCCTCCAAGGCGTCAAAGAATTAATTCAGTGATAAAGAACTACTCAAAGTATTTGCGCAGTTAGTCTATGTTATCAGATAATTGGATTGTAAACTAAGTGAAAAAAATGTTCCCCCCAGCTGGTTTCTTCGTCCATCTTGATCAAATGAAGTCGTCGTCACCTGAGTCGCGATCTGTGCAGCGGAGTGGGAATTTGTCTGAAAGACGAAATGATGAACAGTTATAAATCCGCGTAAAAGGAGAGGCCCGTGTAAAGGCATGCTGTTTATTGCTGGAGCCCTTCCGGCAAATTCCCGAAGCTACAAGGGTTTTTTTAAATATATATCTATTGCTTTTTTTTCCCGCGCTTGGTCTGAGAAGGGCATTGAAGTCTTTCTCGGTAACCTATTCAGTGAGCTCCAGGTTGGATTAGACGTCAAAGAACAGGATCGAAGAACTTGGAGAACCAACAACTCGGATCAGTGACTCACAAAAGCTCGAGTTGGTTGCTCAAGGCTGCCTCAAACAATCCTTACGCATCTTCCGACCTGCTCTCCAAACTTTCCAAGTGTTTCATATCTCGATGAACGCACGCTAACGTATAAACCAGAAGTTAGTGATAATGGTGGTTTTTATCTATCGTTTTAAACTGGACGTTAAAACTCACAATTTTATGAAAAGGAGTTAAGAACGTACTAAACACCAGAAAAACTCCAACTTGTCAATCTCTCTACTAAATTCAAAGAGTCCAAAGAGGTATCTATTAACAGAGCATTTCTTAAACTTTCCAGTGTAAACACATAGGACTCGATGAGGATGCAACCCACCGCGAAGGGATCTTTCCTTCCAAGAGAATACCAACAAGACTATTGCTCAATTTATTTTCTTTGACGGCTCCACTTGTTGAATGTATCCAGATCTAAATACTATTTTCTGTCGCCTATCAACTCGCTTCAAGTACATGTTTTTGAGTTTTTAGCGTTTGTCTACTTTCGAGTAAACATCTTTGGACCAGCGCCCCTAGATTGCAATGGAAGTATGAATCATGCGAACGAGGAAATATTCAGCTTGGTTTCAGTTTCAGTCTTTTTCAAGAGCTTTGTCATTTTGTTTCGGTTGCACTTGACTAGATAAACAACGAAAATTAAACCGTGACATTGCAGACAGCTGATACCGACGTAGCACCACAGTTTCTTCAGAAACTTACCCCTTGAAAGATTAAACCGTTGCCGACTTTTCAACGTTGAGTTCTTCTTATTGTCTGCATGTCGTAGATAAACTAAATCATGCAGTTACCTTAACAAAGCCCTACTGCCGCGGCTCGTTCTGCTCCTGTACGAAATTTTTACGGCATTGAATGCCGTAAAAATTTCGGTAGAACTCACTAAAGCCGTCAAAATTACGGGAGAAATTTAGAGTCAAGAGATAAATAGGCAACTGAATTAATAAATAAGTATGTCGATTTATAATGTTCTAAAAGAGAATGATCAGAAGACTAGCTATACTAAAAAGAATTGCTCACCTTTCAACAATCCGTCTATGAACCGGGGATCGTTTGGTTCTGTACATTGCACTGGGAACCTCTCTATAGAGAAAAAAATTCATCCGAATTAAGCTCTATATTGAGCACTATATTACCAGAGTCAGCCAAACTTGGCACATTTGGCGCAGTTCTATGTAAATACATTGTTTTTTTCACTGACATATTTAGATCTCGACCTGTCAAAGTTGAGTTCCTCTTATTTTCTGAATGTCACAGATAAACTAAGTCATCCAGTTACCTTGACAAAGCCTTCACGCCTCTTGTCGATAAGACGGCGTGAGAAACTAAAACCGCGGCTGGTTCCGCCTCTGTAATTACTAATGCCGTAAAAATTTCGTCAGCAACTTACTAAGACCGTCGAAATTACAGGAGAAATTTAGAGTCAACAGATAAATAGGTAATTGAATTAATAAATACATATCAATGAAGACGAAATTGATGATGGAAACGATAAATTATCAAATCAATAAATCCGTTCATCCCTATATTTTCTTGGAATATCGATTCTGATGACAAAAGAATGTCAATTTTTAATATCCCGAAAGAGAATAATCACGAGACGAACTATGCTAAAAAGAATTGCTCACCCTCCAACAATCCATCTATGAACCGGGGATCGATTGGTTCTGTGCCTGGTTTTGTACATAGCACTGGGAACCTCTCTATAGAGTAAAAGTTCATCCGACTTGAGCACTATATTGCTACATTACCAGAGTCAGCCAAACTAGGCAGACGCAGTTGGATGTAAAAACATTGTTATTTTTTTTAATATATCTAAATCTCGACCTAAGTCCCAAAGCCAAGTGTTTCACGGCCCAATGTTACTAATTCAGACCTCTTTTTGAATTAATTAGCGTTATTCCGCATGCAAACGAGAAACATATGTTTCTGAAATAGCAACATTTCGCTTACATTTGGTTCGTAATTCGGTTTTATACTAATATCTAAGCAGATATCTCAAATGAAAAACCTCCAAGTAATCTTTGTAATAGCATGATCAGGAGGCGTTCACTATCCGGCCAAGTTATTTTGCCTTCATGTGAACGATGCAACAATTTCAGGACTTTTCAAACAAAACCATCGAGGATAAGAGGATATTTTGTTAAATAAACTGCCGATTGAACGTAAAATGCGAAACAATGAGATCGCGTGTTAATGTGAACAGTTTTCGGCTAATTGACTGCATCGCTGTATGGGCGCATTCTATATCCAACTTTAAAATTTTATCAAATCGCTTTGGAGATCGAAAACAACTATACTTGGCCTCCAAAATTTAGATTTTCAGTCATCTATTTTGAGTAGCACATAACGGGTCCCTTTTGAGCTATTTTTTAAACAAATTAAAGAAGACGGTTGGTTTGTGTAAATGAATGGTCAAGAATTGCTCAAATTGCTGATTCGATTTTCAATATCTGGTACTTTTTGTCGGTCCCGGTTTTTCAAATCGGATAGAAACAACACGGCTCGACCATCAAGCTTATTATAGGTTCCTGTTGAAACTTACCTTCCTCATATTCGTGTTCTACAGCTCTTTGTGGCCCTAAGTACAAGATAAGCCTGAGAAGCCCTTCAAAAAACATCATCAAGTCTTGCAAACGTCTTTTTAGGTACCGACGAACAGGCATTATTCACAATTTGAAAACTTCGGACATTCCGATGGCGTTTGCAAAACTTGGTGGGGTATATAAAGCTGTTTTCTTCTTCTTGACGGGCGGTCATTCAATTTAGCGGCTCATTTAACAGCGACAAAGGCAAGGCTACCCTACATATCTACTCTCTCTTGCAAGAGAATTCATGAAAGGGCTCTTTAAGACCAATGATTATTACGATACTAAATTGAATATACATTAACCAATAAGGAGACTGTCAGAACATTTACACGCGTTGTTCAACAAC